TCCTGCATTGCTGTTGTCCATTGTGATGCGTGTGCAGACCGCATGGCCTCAGCATACGTGGTAGGATCGTCAGGGTGCTCTGTCTCAAAATGATCAGGTGTAGCCGCAAAGACTTCGGACAGGTAAGCAATCTCGGCTTCCAAATCGGTCAAGGTACTGTCTTCCCCAGCAGGGTAAGCCTCAGCGCTCTCAAGTGCGTTATGACGATCAGCGTCAACTAAAGAACTAAGTGCGGCCCGTTGCGAAGCATTAGTGTAGGCAATACCTTCAGCAGCACAGCGGCGCTCGGACAGTACAGGATTACGCGACAAACGTCGTGGCCCGATGTCAATAGGAGCGATAGGTGGAGCTGGCGTCGTCAGAGGTGGGAGAAGCTGAGTATCGTTGGCTGTAACATCAATAACACTGGCACGCTGGGACAAAGAAGGCGAGGCGAGGTGGGTGGGATTATCGATGGTGAGACCAGGGAGCAGGGGTGTGTCACTGGAAGTATGGGACTCAATAAAGGATACATGGAATGAAATGAAAACCTTGTGCGATTCGCGATGGTAGCAACGGTAGGCCTTAGAATCGAGGGAGTATCCGATAAGCACACATTCTATTGATCGGTCTAAGACCTTGGGGTTGTGGCGGTTTTGAATGAGCACAAAAGCGCGACAACCGATTTCATGAAGGTGCGACAGATCTGGTTTCGAACCGAACCAGCGCTCATATGGCGTGTGGCCCACCTGTGAGGTGACGGGTGTTCTATTAGTCAGATAGCATGCGGTAAGGACAAATTCATCCCAGCGGTTAACGGGGACACCGCAGGTTGAACGCATAGCACGGGCCTTGCCCATTAGAGTACGGTGCAGTCGTTCCACACGGCCGTTTTGAGCGGAGGTATATGGTGCGGTGAACTGTTGTTGTGACCCGCATGAGAGAAGCCATTGTCGCATAGATGCAGACTTGAGTTCCCCATTGTCTGAGCGGTATATTCCAACCTTCAGACCAGTTTCGAGTTCACGGGCTCGTTCCCAGGCTTGAAGTGCTGCAAACACGTCAGACTTAGCCGCCAAAGGGATAGACCATGCATAGGACGAAAAATCGTCAATGATGTCCATTATGTATTTACTGCCCGAAGCGGACACAGTGTCCGGATGTTCCATGAGGTCTACATGCACGATGCCTAACTTCCTAGCTGCCCGACTCCCAACCCGAACCTTTGGCACGCTGGACTTAGTCTGTTTCCCAAGAATACAGGCGTCACAAACGGGAGGTTCAGTAGAGAGATTGATTGGCATACCGGTCGCATTGCCAGAGCGCGCAAGATCATACACCGCGCGATAGTTCGCGTGGCCGAGACGACGGTGCCAAGATTGCAAGGTGGGAAGGCGTTGCGTGAGGTAGGCATGTTCTGCGGACAGCTGGCCGCCTGAAAGAGCATACAGTTTGCGAGAAGTGAGGGTACCAGACAGCATACGAGTTCCACTGCGTGATTGAACCCAGCAGCTGGTAGCATCAAACGATGCGACACAACGATGCGCCGCACAGAGTGCAGATACCGAGAGGAGACGGACAGTAGCAGCGGGGATGAAGAGCACGTGGTCGAGTGTAACGTGGATGCCTTTGGCAACAACAAGGCGAATGGTGCCAACTCCGATAGCCTGGATGGATGAACCACCAACACCGCTAACAGTGCGAGGGGGAATAGGACGAAGGCTAAAGAAATCTCCCTCAACGTTGCTGATATGGACCGATGCACCGCTGTCCAAGAAGAACGGTACGATGGAAGGGTCGACAATGCTGCGTTGGCGTTGGTTGGGGGCCTTATATGTTAGTCCTGCGAAGTCCACTGATTGGGAGTGCTGGCGCCAATCCACACTGGTCTGCAGAGTGTCAACTGCGGCAAGGAGGGCCGAAAACTCATCATCATCACCTGCAGACAGCTCACGGATGAACGAGGGGGTCACGGGGTCGTATGCGAGACCAGCAAATTCATGGGATTCGGGGGTAGAAGTGGTGCTGGTGGATGCAGAGGGAGTGGGGACGGAAGCAACGTAGATGGCCTGACCGGTTTCTCCATCGAGTAAATAGGCACGTCCACCCTGATCATAACGGACTCCCCCTGGTTTGCCAGTGGAGGCGCCTCCTTTGCTGACAGGCTTCACACCAGAACTACCTTTGCCAGTAGCTTCGCGAGCAGCGCGTTTACGAGCTAAGACCTCTTCGCGCTGTAGAAACAACAATACTGAGTGGGGCTATACGAAGATGGCTCCAAACTGATATATTTGTGTTGTGGTCTTTGCACTGCCTAGTTTGCTATACTTGCCTGACAAGTGCGTTCGACCCAGGGGTCTGCGATCTGGGAATAGTCTTGGGGGTAAGTGAGTAATGTGGGGTCAATAGTCCGAGCGCGGGAAACAATGTCCAAAGGTATAATTACGATGTCCGATGCAAAAGCGTCGGGTCCGATGTTTTCGGGGTTTCGGGTTATCGGGTTCGGGTTCGGGGTGTCGGAAACTAATAGTAACGCTATAGCGAGCGTCGGAAGAGCGAGCGGTGTGCGCAATAATAACAATGACTGATACGGATAATGAAAGAGCGATGATATTCGCAATATCAACTAAGAACTACGAAATATCGGGTTTGACCACTAAGCGTCGGGGAACTGCTCCCCTCTACTTAGATAATGAATAATGCTCGAGGTCAGTCCAATATATATGTAAGTACGTAGAAATGCGGAACCCGTAGGCGAAAGTAGCGGCGGAGTATTTCGGATCCGAAGTACATGTAAATAAACATGAGGCGCTGCGGACTATGGGAAAACATGTAATAGCGCTGGCTACGACGTGAGTAATGTGCGAAATAATGAACTACACACCTAGTGGGGCTAGCAAGACAGGATGGGACACGGATAGGACAAGTGCGCGGGAAAACATCGGGTCCGATGCGGCCTAAACGTCGGGTTGGCAGGTTAGCGTCGGATAACATCGGGAAGTGATTAGCATGTGACGGGTATTTGACATGTACTGTAAAATAGCTCGATACGAGCCCAGCGCCAGCTCGTGTCCTACAGTGCTTACCCTCCATCGCACCACCTTTTGCGAAACAGTCTTGGGCGTAATGCCCCCAGCTGTTGCAGTGAGTACAGCAGAAAGAGTGGCCAACGCGTCCACATTCGGAGCAGGTCTTGGACCGATTGGCCTGAGGCTGTTGTCCTCCTTTCCTAGTAGCTACCATAGCGACGTCACCTGATCCCTTTGTTTTTTCAGTGTCGATGAGTTGTTGTTCGACGTCAAGTCGAGCACGGATGTTGGAGGGACCATATACGTTCGTAGAAGAGCTGATGGAAAGGGCGTCTGCGATATGATTGCGCACATGAGGTAAGTCATCACTCATGGCATTAAGCATCATGATAGTGAGAAAATCGCTTTCCTTGGGCAGTCCGATCGCATATATGCGTCGGGTTAGCTCACCAAGTTGAGTACTAGTGGTGGAGAGACGTTCAGATCGGCGGTAGCGGACTGCGAGAGCCTGTTGAATCAACAGGATTTGTGCGATAGGACCAACTTTCTCGTGGCGGGACTTGAGAGCGTCCCAGGCAAGGTATGCATTGGAGTATGTACGAAGGAACTCCTGCTCTTCGGGACTGGAATGGGTACGCAGAGCGGCTATGATACATAAGTTGTTCAAGTCCCAGTTGGCTGCGCTCGAAGGATCGACAGAGGGGTCAGGACGAGGGATGATGCCAAGGAGATAGCCACCACCATGCTTCAAGAGTAAGTAGTTTTGCATCTTGTCGGACCATACCCCCCAGTTGTTTATACTGCGGTCGAGTACTTCGATCTTCTCTAGGTCCGTCTGGCTAAGTGTTATGGCACTAACGGTGGGAGCGACGACACGAGCTGTATTTCCAGGTGGGGCTAGTCCTCCACCCTTGTTACCAGAACTGTGCGAACGCGTATGAGGACCTGCGGCAGTAGTCACAGTTGCTTTCGGCGGCATGATGAGTGACGAAAGAGAGAGAGAGAAGAGTGGGGGAAGAGATTCGTATCTTGCTACCCCAGTTTATATGTTCTTGGGGGGATAATTATCACCCAAAGAGGAAGAATTAAGCATTCTTCGAGACGCTGATAGAAGTCGACGTTTCACGTCGCACGTTCTAGGCCCTTTAAGGTACGGTGGGAACGGACTTTATGGATTACCAATGTTTAGATGGTTCTGCTCTTTGTTTACAATAGAGCAGGGCTCATAACCTGTTAAACTAAACACACGTCAATCCTCAGTCTCGTGTAAGTGACTGAGATTACTATATACCTAAACACACGTCAATCTATCGAGATATTGTTAGTGTTTAGGCGGTGTGCAAAAGGTAACGAAACATACCCTCAGTCTCGTGTAAGTGACTGAGGGAAAAGGGGAAATGCGAAGAAATAGGTATATAAGCGTCTATGTTGGAATACCAACAATCATACTCCGCGTCGCATCGCACGTGCACGTTCGTGCATCAACATACCTCCCACTTACCACCCATCTACTACCTAGCAGAATATAGTTGCGATCTATTCCTTGGCACTTTGCACTCACATCTCTTGTTATTCATCATATCACCACTTAAGCAAACTCACTCTTACTCTCACTTGTTTCCGCTCACGCGCGCGCGCGCTTCCCGCGCCTCGCGCATACCTTCGCTTTCCCGCGCTTCGCATTGGCCAACCAGTAGCGCCTTCAGCGCCTACTACCAGATCCTTGCTGCACTCGCTTCCCCTTTAGGGTCGAACACACTTGTCGTCTCAAGTATAGCAGACTAGGCAACGCACGACCTTACAACATTTACAGATACAGTCAGGAGCATCATTTGTTCCTCTCAGTATTGTTGTTTCTACACCACTAGGTAGCATTTTGGCTTGACCACATAGTTCCTTGGCTGAATGAAAGGACAACAGAAGACTCTTGATCTTAACAAAACACTTGTCAGAACTGTAAATGCAATGAAAAAGTTTAAAACTAACCATCTCAAGTGAAAGAAAGTTGTCGATCTTTGCCATGCTCAACCCTGAATGCAGTAACCAGGATGCAACCTCCCAGTCTTTCCGGTCACTGAATGGGTAATAATGATTTGTTGCACGGTATGCACTGTTCTCATCAGAATGAAACAAATCGAGGAAAGTGTAGCCCCTGCCACATGTTTGAGAGGGTTTGGGATGCCAGTCAATGAAGTCTGAGTCAGTCGGTGTTCCTTCCTCGTGGACATGATCATCACCCTCACCACTACTACCTGGAAATACCTCATTCCAATCTCCAAATCCAGGCCCATCAAGCTCCGAGTCAATGTCAAGAATATTTGGTTTGTTGATATTCATAGAGTTGGCAGTAGTATGAACGGATGCTGAATGCAACCTTATTAGATCCTGTAGCCAAGTGTTACAGCCAGAGCAAGGTTGGCTCATGTGTCAAGCCACAGCGCCATGGTCTTTGAAATTGTCTTTGCCGCACGAAGGACACTGATATGACATATGAGTTCCCGACTTCCTAAGGAGGGTTCTGTAGCCTAATTCTCTACCAAATTGATTGTGGGAAGTTTCGAATCATCGTGAGAACATCAAATTACATCTGTCCGAATCAATGAAGTGTTTTTCTATACATCATGTCAACTGGCAAACCAGTACATCTCAATATAAGTGATATCCTGTTGATTTCACGTTGTGCTGCTCACTGGCATGCAAGCCTTAATACTCTGTGTCACTCTGGTGATGGCATTTCTGACCTATACAAAGTAGTCGATGCTATTAGGACAATGGCAAGTGAATCATATTTTACTACTAGTGCAAACAATTGTTAACATTTTTATAGGCGATCAAAGATGATAATTTTGAAGCGAACCTTGTCATGGACCTTGTGAGGGCTAGACAGGATGTGTTCAACGCAGAGAAGATACTTGCTGACTGTGTGCTCCGTGAACACAAAGTCATGGTGCTCTCTCCAAGCATAAATCCGACATTTCGAAGCAGAAGTTAGCAAAGGTGGATGTAGGAATAGGCCACATGCAGATCGTGTTCAAAAAGCATGGTCTTTCTCATCGCACACTCACGCAAAGCAATTTGCAAGGTAAGTTCCAATACAACTGCACACTACCTGACAGCTAAAGTTAAATATAAGAATCATTTGAATATTATCACATCCAGGTCCAATTAGATTGAAAAGTTGAGACTTCTTGAACATGTTAAACCTTATCACCTCTATTTACCGTCACACCATGCATGTATATATGTATGCAAGTGTACTGCGCAATACATGTCTGTTATTGTAACAATCGCGTGTCGTGTTTGAATCCAACGTTCAAAATGAAAAAATAAGGGCTATATATCATATTAAAGTGTGTACTACACATACACATTTCTCCTTTGTCAGACCACTGAGCCTCAGGCTCCCCACCCATCGAACTTGGGAGGAGTGTCTAGTATGGCAGTCGCATTTGCATTTTCGACGAACACCTCTGATGATGTTCATAGTAGTGAATCATTCAAGTTGGCTGTTCTTTCAGGTGGCCCACAGTGTTGTGGTCAAAGGGTACTACTTACTATGACCAGGTACTAGTAAATGTTGAAATGTGCTGCAATGTTCCACAGCTCATGTGGAACTGGATACCTTGTGGTCCAAGTGCACTGGAACTTTGGAGGAACTGTGGAGTCTGTCCCAGGCTGCATAAGAATGTGACTTCCGTACGCCCTGTGGGAAAAGTTGTAGTTTACTGATGCCAATGCCAGTAGATTCAAAAGCAGTGATAATTGTTTCTATGGCATGCGAGTCCATTGTTCAATGACTTATGAGACAATGGATGGCACTTTGACTGCACTTTCAATAATACATTAGTATAATCTTAACCCTATGTTTGGGTCTATTCATTCTATGTCAATAAATTTCATTTTCCGCTGTTTCAGCCACTGTGGCTGACCATGTTTACGTGTGTTATCTTCCAGCCGGTGCTGGGTTTTAATTCTTCACGTGATTTCGGACAGTCCCGCACGCCTAGTATGCCGCCCTGAAGCAGTGGCTGGGAAGGAGCCTGCACTGTCTCTTGCTTTCAAGTATTCAATATTCAAACTCCAGCCTGGCAGAGTTGTCTGACTTATTGCTTCGAGTAGGTAGATCAAGGCAGATTATGTATGTTCATACTTTGTCTGGTAGTGCAACATAGCATGATTTATTCCAGAGGACCAAATACAGAGTCATGGCTCGTGACTCTACCCTCTCCCCATTGCCGCTCCCATGGACTCTGCGCGACTCTCACCTTGAGGGCCAAATCATAATTTCTGTTCCGAAAATGGTCAAGTTGCTTATGTTCTCAAAATGGCTTGTTAAACTTCCTCGAAGACAAGATCATTTTGCCGTACGGACGTTTGACAACACCTTAATTAAGGGCCCGCAACGATTCACTTATTTCGAGGTTCAACCTTAGATCATTCACTTGCTTGTCAAGGTTATATGAATGATGGTGAGATGTTTTCCAGCCATGTCAAGTGAGATAAGCACCGCCTTTGCTAGATAAACAAGAGGGTCGGACAGGTAGAGTCTAAGCCAAGAATACTGCCAGTGGTGACGCAGGGTGACCCTTCATCGACATCATCAATATGTGACTCACGACCTTTCCGTTGGTAGTAAATTATTGAGGACATAACATCAAATGGAGAAGTGCGGCGGCGCAAGCTTGACATAGGTGATGTCACACAATTATCCTTAGGACATTCACAACCCTTACGAGTTAACGAGATTCCGACAGTCTACCCTATAAGTATTGTACTTTGGTGATCAACAGCCCATCCCTCGCTTTTTGAATTTCCCACTTGATCTGCACAGTTTCATGTCGGGACTAGAAGAATCTCTCTATGCTCTTGAATGGAATAACAGCATATCAGGTATGTCAGTCTTGTTCGAAACGAATCGCTGTGCTGAACTTCATCTTTTTCCAGTTGCAATCATTACCCTGATCTCTTATGAGTACAGTCAGTAGCTTCCATGAACCTTGCAATGCGGCTAAGCATAATATTATCTAGTGCTTCAGTTCGAGAAAGAGGTAACGAGGTCGGTTTATCATCATCGAGTACTCATGATAATATTATTGCAGGTCATATTCGTTTGGGTTAGAGCTCAACCCCGACTTTATCAAGATCTGAAACTGACTGGTATCTAGCAAAGACAGTGGTCAATAATGACATATATGTACCTTACGGTGAGTTCCACCATGCCAAAGTGTCTCGTTGTTTCCCATTTTTGTTGCTTTTAGGTTCGATATCTTGGTATTTCGATTGCAATGTACGTCGCCGCAGTTATATCCTTCAGATACTAGTACTTTGGATGTTGACGCTGATGTCTAGGACTTGCGCCTGCTGTACGTGACGTGAAGCCAACTGAGCCCTCATTATCTGACCCAGCCCTAGGGGGAGGTTTATTTTATATACCTGAAACAGTGAGTGTATCGATTATTTCTTTAGATAGTTCTAGGTTGACCCAGATTCAGCCGTACGTCAGAATTTCGTTTTACAGCTAGGCCTGATATGCTGCTAACTTCCTTGTTTAGTTGTGAGTGTATATCGTATTAAACTGAAGCTAATTTTGCCTATCACGAAATTGAAATAGGTTATGCAATGTTTCTGTTTTTCCAATGGGGTTTTTCTGTATATTTTTGCTTGGCGGAACGTAAGTCATCTACATACATTCTCGCATCTCTACGCGTACCCATTTTGCATTTACAGTGATTCTCATCTTGCGTCTTTACGCCCTATACAACCTATCCAAGCCCATACTTTATATTCTACTTGGGTTGTTCCTACCAGTCGTCGCGCTCTATATAGCGATAGATATATTTTTATGGGGTCGACCCTCAGCAATCTCGAGTGAATTTCTACTTTGATCGAATTCTGTTTACAAGCTGATCCTTGGTGCATAGTGCATGAAATAATAATAACTCCGAACATCAAGTACTGCACGGGTATCTTCCATATTGGGCCTATGCCTGCGATATATACTTCCATCCCCATCATATGCTATGATATATTGCTGCTTGTCCTCGCCATCACCGTCCTCTGGAAGCACCTGAAGGAACGGAATGAAATTAGAATGAAGCCCAATGCCTATGTAGTCATGATTGTCCGATATCATGTCATATACTTTGTCCTGTGAGTTCCTATTCGTTTGGTGTGTTCTCTGAAAACATTCATTGAGTCATGCTAGAAATTTGGCAACTCAAATCTTCATGGCGATATTGTGGGATGACCTTCCGGTATGATCTTCTGTGATCCTAGAGAAATCTGCTCTAATGCAGGCATGCACAGACGGCGATGATGTATCTCGCACAGTTGTTCATCGGTACCGCGCCATTTATTATTGTGCCACGTCTTATCATCAGCATCTGGGAAACGCATGCCAACGAAAACTGTGTACATGTCAGTACGACGTTCGAGGATTGTGTCTGTTGGACTTCGCCACCGGCTTTGGAGCAGCACGAGATGCACCCCCTCTGATACTTCATGGGAGCAAGTCGTCCTGGGCCCAATTTTTTGTGTAACTATGCACATCATATATCGAACTTGTATTTGATAGCTAGGTATAAAAGTACGGTCTATCATAATTTATCTTGGAGGACTCGATAGGCTCTTTCGGAGTCTTGGCCCATGACTCTAACTTTTTGAGAATGCTGCGAAGGCAGTGAGCACTCCGGTCATGAAACTTTATGGGAGAAGCATTACGTATGTCATACACATGTCGACAACTAGTTATACCATGCAAAACTAAATGCGCCCACTACCCAATTCCTGCTGCTACTACTATAGTCACTGTTGATGATCTACTAGTAATGCAATTGTTTGATTTGTGCGAGTGTTTCACAGCTCAAATCAAGCTCAAACGCTCACGCGCTCACGGCTCGGCGCTCGACGTTCGGCGCTCGATGTTCAACATTCAATATTTAACCACGACGCAGGAAGCGGTAAGCCTCGAAAATTATCTGTAGCTAGAGGATCACAAATCTACTTTAACAGACTTGGCACCTTCCTCTGCCGGAAATTGCCGGTATTTGTGGCGCCGATTGGACAACGGCTTCAGTGCACTACACGCCAACGCCCACAGCCTACACCGAGTCCTCAAGACACAATAATGTGAGTATGCCGCATGAATCACTGCTCTGGAGTACAACGCATGAGTCCAAATATGTGTTCTGTTCACTCTGGCCGAAAATTACGTCGAAATCGATGCGGAGACGGCTGGATGGCTTGCACTTGCATCGGATACCCTGCTCACCCCCGCATCAGACACTCAGCTTATCACTTTTTACAGATAAACCATGGGTAGGGTTATCAGGGCTCAGAGGCGCTCGCACGCCATCGTATGTTTCCCTACTTATTCACCTACCCAGATCTTTACGCCCTTGTCATTTAATGTAGTTCAAAGCACACACCCACCACAACAAGGCCCCCGCCAAGCTTCGTACGCTCGATTTCGCCGAACGCAATGGCTACGTCCGGGGTATTGTCAAAGAAATCATTCACGATCCCGGCCGGTAAGGATCAAACGCTCTAATCCATTATTTTCCTCACATGCATTCTAGTGGCGCACCCCTCGCACGCGTCGTATTCCGTGACCCCTACCGCTACAAGCTCCGCAAGGAGACCTTCATTGCAACGGAAGGCATGCACACCGGCTCATTCGTATACTGCGGAAAGAAGGCCGCCCTTACCGTCGGTAACGTCCTTCCCGTGAGCCAATGCCCAGAAGGTACCATCGTCTGCAACGTTGAGGAGAAAGTTGGCGACCGTGGTGCTCTCGCTCGTACGTCTGGCAACTACGCAACCGTCATTGGCCACTCGCCAGAGGACAACAAGACCCGTATTCGTCTGCCTAGTGGTGCGAAGAAGACTGTGTCTGGGGGCGCACGGGCCACTGTTGGAATCGTTGCTGGTGGTGGACGTATCGATAAACCATTGCTTAAGGCTGGTCGCGCATATCATAAATACAAAGCTAAGCGCAACAGGTGGGTGAACAACGACAATTGTGTTATTTGGTTACTCACAAAAACTCACAGCTGGCCTCGTACTCGTGGTGTTGCTATGAACCCCGTCGACCATCCTCACGGTGGTGGTAACCACCAGCACATCGGAAAGGCCTCGACAGTTCCTCGCTCTGCAGTTCCTGGACAGAAAGTCGGTCTTATTGCCGCTCGCCGGGTATGTCTATTTTGTAGCTTGCTTTCATTTTTGTGCATGCTGAATGATTTTGGTAGACTGGTCTGCTACGCGGTACCGTCAAGGTCAAGGAAGTCTAAGAGGTCGGATGGTTTTTTTCTACATATCACTCGCTATGCTTTACGACCCCATACATCCCTCAAAATACTTGTATGCATCCGCATATGCCCTACGATCATGCACACTGCCCTTAACATGCTATTTAGCACTGTGTGATGATGGGCCTATTTGCTTGCGTCTCTGTTAGTGATGAAACTTCGGTGGTTGGCATATGAGTAGCAGAGACCGTTGCAGGATTGTATACCCAGGACGAAACGCTTACTCTCGTTGAGCTCCTTGAGTCAATCAATCTACGTATAAACGTGTTTCTAACTTCTTACAAACTTCTCGAGTCCAAACGGCATGTTATGAGCTAGACTGTGTTCCGCAGTTAGAAAGACGAAGACTATTGGAATCTGTAGCTTTGACGCAGCACCCTGATGTTAAAGCGCACACATTTAAATTTCAAGTCTTGTTTTCGTATAAAGACAGGGCATAGTATGGCAAAAGGAAAAAGGGGCATAGGGCATAAGGCATAAGGCATAAGGCATAGAAATAGTGGCGTGGCATAAAAACTAAAGGAAAAGTGGCATGGGGGTCGTAAAGTCATGAGGTCATGAGGTCGTAAAGTCGTAAAGTCATAAGGCATAAAGGGTGTGATGAGATGAGTCATAGACGAACCAGACTGGATGGAATAGGCTGCGTGTAGAGCTGCGTGTACGTAGTGCGCGCTTCGAATGGGTATCCGGGCAGAGAAAAGGTCGTAATAATAGAATAGGTTGCGTATGGAGTTGCGTGTATACCGTAGTACGCACGAATGGGTGTAAGCCCCCGGGGCAGAGAAGAAGCGCAAGATGTCGAAAGACTGGGTATGGAGCTGCTAGTGAACCGTGATGCGCGAAAGGGGGAGGTAGAGGGCAAGAGCGGCTGGTGGACTTGAGGATTGAGGAAGAGATAGATGTCGGAGGGCCAAGAAAAAGGTGAAAAGGGTATATGAAGGGGTGACGTGGGTCGAACAATAAATATGAAGAGAGAATTAGGAAAGAAAGATGAAGAGGGTATATGAAGCGGAGAAGGAAAGAGAAAGGTGGAAAGGGTAGATGAAGGAGCGACATAGGCTGGACGAAAGGAAAGAGAAAGGTGAAAGGTGAAAGGGGTATATGAAGGAGTGGCATACGCTGGACGATAGATGAGAAGGAAAGAGAAAGGTGAAAAGGGTATAGGAAGGAGTGGCATAGGCTGGACGATAGATGAGAAGGAAAGAGAAAGGTGAAAAGGGTATAGGAAGGAGTGACATAGGCTGGACGATGGATGAGAAAGAAAGAGAAAGGTGAAAAGGGTATATGAAGGAGTGACATAGGCTGAACGATAGATGAGAAGGAAAGAGAAAGGTGAAAGGGGTATATGAAGGAGTGGCATGAGCTGGACGATGGATAAGAAAGAAAGAAGAAATGTGAGAAGGAAGGCGCATCCGTCACCTGGTAGAAAGAGCGACGGCTGTCAGACGACAGGCTTGAGCTGATGTTCAGCGGAAATAGAGATAGAACAGGAGATGGTGACGCATCCGTCATCCAGTAGAAAGAGCGACTGCTGTCGGACGACAGGTTTGAGCTGAGGTTCAGCAGAAATAGATATAGAACAGGTGATGGTGACGCATCCGTCATCCAGTAGAAAGAGCGACTGCTGTCGGACGACAGGCTTGAGCTGAGGTTCAGCGGAAATAGAGATGGAACAGGAGATGGTGACGCATCCGTCATCCAGTAGAAAGAGCGACTGCTGTCGGACGACAGGCTTGAGCTGATGTTCAGCGGAAACAGAAACAGAACGGGAGATCGTGACGCATCTGTCATCCAGTGAAAAGAGCAACTGCGGTCAGCCTAAAGGAATGACGGGAGTTGCACTAAGGTTCGGAGAAATCGAGGAAGATGAAACTTACTGGTGCCACACTGTCGAGCTTGAATACAGAGCCATCGCACGTCGTTCATTATGCTTGGAGTGTCCGACGTTAAATGGGTGAATTAGCCTAGCTAGATGGGCGGGCGGGCGGTAGGCTGTAGGGATGTGACGGGTGAGTGCGCAGTTCCCTAATTGAGATAGAGACAACGCCGGCGAGGGCGAGGTTCGAGAGACAGGAAAGTTTTTTTATCAACGTGGCCGACGTTGTGCTTTTCGATGTTCTGGAAAGAGAGATAATAAGAAGAATGCTCTGTTGGCGTAGGGCGGTAACGCACTTTGAAGAGTTGACATTGCTTTACCAACGGCGCGCGACATTGGATACCACTGAGCGAAACGGCGAGAGCAAGATAACGAGAACAAGACAACGAGAACAAGACGACAAGAGATAAAGACGACGAGAGCAAGACGGCGACAGCGAGACGGCGACAGCGAGACGGCGACAACGAGACGGCGACAACGAGACGGCGAGAGAGCAAGACGAGAAAGCAAGCCGGCGAGACAGCAGGACAACGAGAGAGAGTAAGAAACTGAGAATAAAGAATTCGATCCGATCAGCGACAAAGACAACGAGAGATAATCGTCCGTGACACGCAATAAGGGTCAGATGTGACGATGAAGAATCGTTGGCACTCGAGGGAGGTCAAGCTGATGAAGAAGAGGAAGCCCGGGCGGGCAGGTATTTATACGTTTGGGAGAGTCAGCCTCCCGTAATCAATACTGGTTGGCCTACGTCATAACGTGTCATGGGCATGGGCCGGCGTAAGTTGAGCAAGTTGATGATGCTGACAGGTAAGAACGCGCCCGCTAGTGTCAGCTTCCGGTCAGCCTCAAGTTCACAGAGGATTGGAGTCCGATACTCGCAATTTGGACCGTCATTCGCGAGAGCGGTGAGGTGGGGAGAATTATAAGGAGGAAGTTGACGGACAGACGCGTCACACGTCCAGATCACGTGCTGACCAAATCAACATTGACGCCTGCATGATGAACATCTCAGCTTTGATCAAGCTTAAGTCTAGCACATGAATTCTTGTGTCGTACTTATGAGAAATAAACCTCGCATGCACTGGAATCTGCCGTGGTTCATATGCAGAGATGGTCCCATCTATGCTTTGACTCTATTAGACAAAGGTCATGGCGTCGAAAGTTTCCTATAGGCCAAGGGTCCCGGATCTTCAACATTAAGGTCTGTAACAAGAATTGCTAAAAAAAAATCAGTGGGCGCTCGTGAAACAGATATATTCCGTGTAGAATTAGGAACGACAGCGTATTCTACTGCCTAGAAAGGCAGGGCATATATTTTACAGTATGTTTGTAAAAACAATAATGAGCTACAGCTGTTAGCATACCAAAGGTCAGCAGATTTGAGTGCGTCAAGAAAACGTGGACGTACTCTGAACAGGAAACCAAGCTAGATTACAAAAGTTCAATCAGCCATATGTCACAGGACAGAATTTCAGCACCTACATCTTCTGGCGTCAGTCGTCCCATCGCCTAGGTCGTAGTCAGCTCTCATATTTGTGTCAGCCACTAACTACAAATACTCACAGATTCATCGGTAGACAGCGTGGCATCCACCATCGCTGATTTCTTCTCCTGCAATTGTATGATTCGCCTCTCGATGCTATCTTCAACGACGAGCTTGATGGCCTGGACAGGACGGTACTGTCCGAGACGGTGAATACGGTCCATAGCTTCTGTAGTGGAAATAAGCAAGTGTCACAGGTACATTTAGTCAATTCGCGTACGGTATTCAACCTAGAACAACAGGAATCAGCTGAGGATGTGAAAGACAGACATAGAAAACTTGCCGCAGGATTCCACCAACTGTCCATCAGATACACTCGAGATGCTTCGGTCAAGTTCAATGCCACTCCACCAGCTTTCAAGCTGACAAGAAATACAGTGACGCCAACATTTTTCACTAAGGAAGCACGTTACTGTAAAAAAACATAACTGATAGACGATCGTCCGACATACTGAAGTGTTGAATGGTCGCATCGCGTGCCTGAGGACTCATGGTTCCTTCAAGTCGACAAATCTATCAGAGATTTTGGTGTCAGCGTTTCATCCAGTAAAATTCCCAGATTCATGCGCACCGAAAAGCCCGCCTTTTGTAGCCTGAAGGCGATCAAATCTAAAAAGTTGACAAATTGACTAAACACGATACTTTTAATCGTGTTGTCTTGCGAGCGAAGATTGGAAAGTTCCTCGACAAGTGCCTCGATCTTGGAGGAAGACCGCCAAGTCTCTATATTGAGTCGTCCCAAGATTCCTTGTCGTGCAGAAGGAATATTTGCTTCAAGTTCGAGCGCCGGAGCCTCGAGGTCGATGGTAAGAGCGATGTGGCAAACAGGACAGTCGGGCTTAAAGAAATTCAAGACCCAAAAAAATGTTGATAGGAAAAAACTGACAGTTATGTCTCCGGCTGTGCTCAGATACTGTTTCATGCACTCCCGGTCGAAGATGTGGCGGCATTTGGCCTGAATGGCATCCTCCGCGACATCACTGCAGAGTCTACAGATCGTGGCTTCACCAGCCTCGTCAGAGCCCAAGAACTGGGTCCCATTAGTCTTACTGCGGAGGACAAGGTCTGGGTGGCATGCCATTTGCCTCAAGCGAGTGAGCCTACAGGAACTTCAGGATCATATGGGCAAGAGCGCGAAAGGCTTACAAACTGAAGATATTGGAATAGTCTGATGGAATAGCGTTAACAGTTGGATCTGACTTTCAGAAAAGGTGACCTCACTATTCAAAACCGTTCCAGAGTCAACGTAGGTACTGAACTGGCGTTTCGCGTCAGAGAAGAGCGAAAGATAAAGCTCTTTCTCTTCAGGACTGAAGTAGTCTCGTCGCACGATCACCATACGAGGGGGTAAGTCCAAGTCATCAGCTCGTTGAATCTGCGGCGGTAGCGATTGAATTTCGAACACGTGAATAAAAGGATAAATTCGACCTTTGTTCTACGGAGCATCATTTGATCAAGGAGGATGCGTAACTTCTTGAAAGCAATCCTTCCCGGGCCCTCGATGCCGTGTTTCTGAATAGGTGTCAAGATCTCGTTATTCCAGAAGCAGGTCTGAAAGACACTAATTAGCTGAGTTCACAGATAGTGATGACGATTTACATGTTGCATTGGGCTGTGACCACAATCTATTGTAAAATATATCAAATGGGCACAGGGAGTTGGGGCACAGAACTTACCGTCACAGTGCTTTTTATCTGTAAACTTCCAATGAAGCGATTTGCAATCACATTTCTTACCTATCAGAAAACCAGATCAATGACTCAAATGACGAATGCGGAGACGCAAGACGCACAGAAATAAAAGGAGAATGGATCACCCCCGAGGAAACGAACTAGACTGTAGAGCTCTCCCACACGATTCTGCAAAGGCGTGCCGGATAGACACCATTTGTAATTGCTCTGGAGCTCAAAGGATGCCTTGGCAGTATTGGTTTGGCGTTCCTTAATGTTGTGCGCTTCGTCAAGCTGTCAAAAAAGACCATCAGCAATGGTAAAGTTATCGAAACGAGCTTGATCGTACAATGATCCGGTTCCATTGAATCTGGTGAAGAGGCGAAGGTTCCTTCACAATAAGCCCCTTTCGCTTAAAACCGCTCTGCTGTTTCCTGAAGCAACTCTCCATGACAGCGTAAGTAGTGAGGACCTGAGTTGCGTTAATATTGAGACGAGAGCATGGAGGGTTCTGAAGTTGGAACTAACAACATCGTATTTCTCCAATTCCTTGGGGTTGTTGACGCGAGACGCGCCATGCCACACCAAGACATTCATCCCCTCTGTGTGAGCGTTAATCTCATTGCGCCATTGCATTATAGCAACAGTTGGCCTGTGTAGCATGTGGTTAGGACATGGCAACATAACTGAATGGTGAAAACATACGCAACGACAAGGTTCGGACGCTTCAGGTCCGACACAAAGAGGGATATCATCTGAATAGTCTTACCCATGCTGCAAAGAACACATTCAATCTTGTACATACTGAAAGTTTGAGAAACCTACCCCATCTCGTCGGCTAGCATGCCGCCATGCCAGATCCCCTGCTCTTGCTTACGCATCCAGAAGAGTGATTCCTGCTGGAATGGAAGCAACGTGACCTTTAAACCAGCAGGTTGCGCAGCTCTCTCCGGTACAACGATGGGGATGCTGGACTTGACGTCACCCCAGACATCCCTGAGTTCAGGGTGATGCTTTTTGAGTGCCAAAGAAGATTTCTCGGCCTGTGCTGATAATTAGGGTAAATATTCGAGCAGAAAAAAGGTCGCCGTACCCAGGTAAGCTTTCGACCAAGCTCTTGCATTAATGCGCGTTCCTCCAATTTGTTGGCCCTCCTTTCGGCCGCTTGCAGGCGGCGCCGCTGAGCTCGCTCCACCCAAGTCATGGGTTCGGTGTCAATGAACTTTAGCTTTGCTTTACCCTTCTTCGTGGCTTTCCCCTTACCCTTGGAGAGTGGGAGTTCCTCTTCGCTTGAGCTCAAGACTGATAGTGCCGATTCGCTGTCTTCTAGTATGAAATTGTCATCTTCACTGCCGCCAGAACGACCTTTGCCTTTTCCCTTGCCACCGGACCTTGTAAGGCGACGTTCAGCAGCAGCAGCCTTCTTGGTAATCTTGAGGCTTGGTGACGTAACGTTGGCTCTGGAGGAAGAACCGACTCCCGAGGATTCTTGAACAGCGCATCGTGCTGTTGCGCGGGACAACTCAATGGCAGCAGCAACCATCAACTCTTCGTCACCTTCTGACTCGTTGCCCTCAGAACCCGAGACGACGTCAGAGAACTGTTCCCAGTTCTTTGAGGGGAGAGGGGCATCGTCATCCGACTCATAATACTCCGAATCACTGGATTCAATGTCTTCGAGGTCCTCATCCTCTGAGAGAAGCTGGACATCCTTATTATTGGAGGTAGAAGGAACAGTAACTCGCCCTTTTCTTTTGACAGGTGTTGCTTGTTGCTGTATATTGATAGTACTTAGTATGCGGCTGGGCGGAACTGAAGACTGCGTTCTCGCCTTTGAGTTCAAGGTCGAATTTTTAACGGGTATCTCAACACAAAAAGCTTTGTGGGCGACTTTCCGTTTAGTTGAGACTGGTCTACCCTCGAAGTCTTCACCTTCATCTTCTGCAGAGCGCTTCCGCGTTTTCATAAGGCTTGTTGCAAGTGATCTTGTCGTAACTTTCGTGACTACTGGATTTTCATCGACGTCGGAAGTGTCAGGGGTTTCAGGTACCACAGAATTCTTGCCGCTAACCAGGGGAGACATTGATGTGCTTGGAGTACCTGTGGTCGTGGTTGCAGGCGTCCGAACATTGCGGGCGCCATTTCTTCTCGTACTGACCATAATAGCAGTGTTAAGGTGGGAGAGCGGAAACAAAGGCCAATCCTGTCGGGACAGAGAAAAAAGTTCGGCGACTCGCGAGACGCGAGATTCGCGGGAAACCCTAACTCAATTATTTAATTTGTCTTTCAGTGGTGTCACGTGGACACGTGCATTGTAGCCACAAGCGCGTCCACCTGCCGGCCAGGATGATGACGACTCTCAGATCTCACTGGTACTGGCATATTCGTTTCGAAGCCATCCCGACAACGAGCACCAGTGCAAACACTCGTGCATCATGGATGTGTGCTTACGTTCCCTATCTCTCAAATGTGCACCTTGCTAAACAAGGGTAGCCTGGTTTCGGCCACTGTTCGGAGTTGACCAAGATTTGTGTCAGAAACAAGAAAGCGGGTGTCACAAGTTTTCGAACTCAGAGAATACAATAGTAAGTGCCACGTACGATGGGTGCCAAGGTACTTCAAGCTAATCGAATGTCTGATAACTACTACTAGGAGTACAAATTTTTCGATCGTTCTGGAATCCGAGATGGGGACCGCTGATATCTAGTCCTATGACCAGCAGCAGAATCCACTATCCAATGACGCCTCAGAGAGGTCAATAGCACTCGAAGCAAGTTTTCCCCCTGAAATATTCGTCGGCAGAATCATGCATTTACCCGTACGCTTCCTCCCCGCCCTGGAGTTCTTGAAATCAGATGGAACCTGCGTCACTCGTCTCTTTCTCAACCTACTCCCAGACGTTCTCGTCTGCTCGCCTACTTCATCGATCAATGATTATATGGTATAGACGGTGTCTGCAGCGGGGCATTTTAGAACAACAATTAGAATTCGTCAATGACGGTTTTTGTCCAGAGGCGAAGCCAGATACTACGAGGAGATGTTGGCAGTGATTTCTACTGGACGGACAGTGAGTGGAATAAATGGTCTGATATGGTCCATGACAGAGATGACTTGAAAACACCGCAGCGAAAGATCAATTTAGCCGGCGACTTGAGTTGTCCGCGGGTGGCTGTGCCACGCAGCCAGCCAATTGAGCGTCTCGAAAAAACGCATGTCCAATCAGAAATATTGTGCGGCTCCGTTGTGGCAGGGTCGTCTTGGGAAGGCCTAACATTGAATGTACTCAGGCTGAAAGATCTGACATCACCGGCACTGGACAGGCTATTATGCATACTGAGAATGGTGGCAGTTGTTGCAAACTGATATAATCCAATGGACCTTATAATCAATGCAAAAGTCTTGTCGCAGTGATTCTACGACCAGAAAGCATTTGTGACGAGCTGCTGGATAGAGATATACGTGGGATTATTCAACTCATGCAGTCACCTCAACTTCCATTCACTGCGCTGAATATGCCGACACGTCTTGCCAGTAGCTAGCAGATGCCTTCAGCTGGGCACCTTGGCTCATCACAAATATGGTACTCACGCGCAACGCTCCAGCAAGGCACTATCGGTCTTGAAAGTGTAAATGTCAGGTACTCCCGCAGATGTCTCGTTGAACATCATCTCTGTCAAATCAGATCGCCAAGGTCTCCAGGAGGGTGTGATATCTCCTGGAGTGTATCTGTCATCAGGAGTCTCAGACATGGCCATAGCCATGAATGAATTCGAGAAAGCAGTTATGAACTGCGAATCGTTGTATGCAGGACCACCTTTGAAACAGTTTACATTCAGAGTAGTAGACTCGTTGCTTCAACTTACGAAAATGAGGTGAAGTAGTATGCAACGTCATTTCCATGCAGGCCAGGCGGGATTGCAAACTCGCCCTGCGTATATTGAGTATAAATGAGTCGCGAGTTGTCTCGAACTCACTTTCCAAGCTCGTTCTCCAAATGCTGAGAGGAGATAATAGATGGGGCAAATGAATATTGCTGAGACGACCCATGAAATCAGGGACAGCGATCATTCCTTCAAAAATATACATACATTCACCCATCACAAGATCTGCCTGGTTGACGTTACTTCCGTAGTTCTGGTACATCGTCACCACTCCAGCGGCCTGAGCAAAACCGATGTTCGGGAAAAGCGTCTTGACATAATCCGCAATATCCAATGCCATCGATTGGTTGACAAAACTGTTCCCCTCATGCGAATTGGTCATAGCAAGCAGATAGTTCTAGGAGAAAAAGGCCTCAGTTTGTCTTCGAGATAGAGGCATTCATAGACCGTACGCCATTCAAACGACCTTTCCTTATCGTCACAGTAGGCCTCTCCACGATGAAAGTGCCATCTACAACAGGGACGAATACATACGTGCCAAAGAACCCATTGAGGTTGATGTTATAGTTCAAGGTCTGCAGCGTATCGATGTCTGCAGCGCGCAAACAAGAGAGGGTATCCGAGCTCGAGGCACAGCCGCAACTTAAAGAATTAGATAGAGACTGGCGGTGTTTCAAAGAATTTACTTTGTTCCATTGACGACCTCACTATACAACAGCTAGTAGTTGTATTCAGGACTGCGGACATCGTCCTCATGAACAAAACTTACCTCCGGAATCCGGTCATTATAATTATATTGGGATGGCAAGAACGTAGAACTCGTCATGGCGATTCTGAAGAGGGGAGGCTGCGTGTTTCCTCCATGGGCAACGATATGCTGTAGCACCGATCCGGCACCTGAAACATAGTAAATCATAAAGACAATATTTGATGACAAAGAGTACCTAGCATAGCTCACCAGCGGACTCTCCCCAAATTGTGACCTTCGTGGGGTCGCCGCCGAAGGCGCTTATCTATCCAGTAAGCTTCCTGTCAGGTAGGGTACACCACGCAAGTAAAGAGTTCTGCTCACGTAGGCCTGCACCCACTGTAAGGCATAATTCTGGTCGACTTGAAATATCAAGTTCAGCTGGATCTGAAAGACTGCCAGACCATGATCGCGTACGTAGCCCAGCATTGAGTGCACCCCCTTCCTTGACCGCTTCCCCGGGAAGAAAACCTAATTGGCGGTGTATGCACCTTAGTATGCATTTGAAACCGAGAGAAGACAGTAAAAACACACCAAATAAACCGAGGCGGTACTGAATTAAGACTGTGATAACACCATAATTCGAGTCTATAATTAAATCTGCGCCATTGAATGGACTTCCACCACCTATGAGATACCCTCCTCCGTGAATCCAAACGATAACTGGGAGCCCTCCTCCCGGAGTTGGCACCACTTCACTTCCAGGAGTGTATACACTACCAGATGTGACCACTAATCGTAAATGCTAACATCATCATTCAATGACAGGGCTTACTTCAGGAATAAACAGTCTTCAGATTGGCTGATATCCCTTTTCTTCATAGAGGTACTTTCAAACGGATTTGTCGAAGAATCGCCTCTGGCTGCTTGATTACATTCGTTTGGTTGCGTAGTAGCTTGTTGAATCCCAGAAACGGTCGGTGGAGGCTGCGGGGCCGCCCATCTTAAGTCGCCTGTGCGCTTGATGCGTGAGCTGAGATTGTGTTTAAGAAAGATTACTAAACGCACCAACTGGAGGAGCCGCGTAGCGTATTCCAAGGAAGCTGGTGATGTTTGTCGCCGTGTCAACTGATCCCTGGTACTGGGCATAACCCAGGTTGACGATAGATGCGGATACGGTGGCCGTCGGAGAAGACAACACTTCAAGCGCAAGAAAAACCTGCGACACGGCCAATAGATTGGCTTTAGTGGACAGTTTTACTCCCACAGATCGTGCAGTGAAAAACATCCTTGACCAGGGTGATGAAGATGCGGTTTATAAACCGAGTGGTGACAGGTCCAAGACTCCGAGTCGAACGACTGGCCCGGGAGAGTCTCGGTGAAATTCAACGGTGGTTTATTGAAAACGGTCAACATTGTAGATTGCCGCATCACAAGGTGTAGTACTGACGAAGAGCAAGCGATAGTATTGTCATTATATTATTGTCATGGTAGAAAGGAGATGGTGTGTGGGAAGATGCATCCCACTGTAACCTACATACTTACTGAGGATAGTGCAGAAGAAAACTTGGATGAAAGTGTATATAAATGCTAGATGTTACAAGTCTGTGGTATGTTGCGTCGATGATTCTGCAGCCACATTTCAAAGGTGTCCTCATCTGTGGGCTGGGCTCAGTATAAAACAAGGCAATACAATTAAGTATAGTGTTCGATCGCAAGTGTCCAGTTGGATCTTGGCCGAGACTTGCGCTCATAACGCGCCACCATCAAAAAGTGGTATTTAAGCTCAACATGTAAGCGCGTCTACTCCGATCAAGCCACTCGCAGAGAGATTTGTTCTTCTTGCGAGGCTTGCCATCCTCATAGCGAAAACAGAAACCCAGACCAACGATTCAACATCGTGCTGGTACACGTGCTCGACGCTGCCTTCGACGGTTGATAGTAGGGTGAAAAGGCTAATCGATAGGAACCGTACCGTTCCTGTGTGTTCATTGCCTCTGGCACAATCATCTTGAATCGATGATAAATCATAGTCATTGAGGACGCCTATCACACGACCGCGCGAGGTTCGGTAAAACACGAGATTGCTGGGGCTGATGTCACAGCGATAGATACCATCTTCCCAGAGGATACGATGAACTAGAATCGCAGTTGATGGACGGTAACCAGAACACAAAGAAAGAACGCCTACCGATAATATTTGCCACCATGTTTCGCGGAACTCAGACCCACTCAGGTTTGTGACAGGCTCAAGCTTCCTGAATATGCCCGACTGCCCCGTTCAGCGTCCTTCATTCCTAATGCCGTTCTGCTGTTGGTCGTGGATGTCTCATTAAACCTACGGAACTAAACTATGTCTGGGACATGACCCATCATCCGCAAGTGTTTCAAGGTCAAACACACCTTTTCTGGCCACTAGAGCTTGGCAACTCCGATGTTATGAGGAGGGTCGGCATTAGCGCCGCTCTCAGTGGATGGTCTGTCGTTGTCGCTATAACAATTGTGTGAGGTGTTAGGAGGAGAGTCGGTGTCGGACGGTTCATCGGGGCGTTCGCGTGCCTGTAGCAATTTCGATAGTGCCTTGCTCTTCATTGGGACGACGGTGGTTGCACGTCCACGCAGACCGAAATGATATGAGTACGTGACGAATCTGATTTTACATAAACAGAATGTGAGTGTCGACCTCAGGCTGGTCAACGTTGACAGAGGGCCAGAAAATACAGCATCAGACCTGAATATAAAGTTAAAGTCCTATTGTGCGTATCGCATTCGCTGCATAGCTATGTAGGAGCAAGACAAGAAAGCAAGAGGATAGCGGGCGAAAAGCTGATCAACAAGATTGGAAAGCACTACATAATAAATATTTAGACTAGTACTACTACGTGACGGTATATATGGTATCATATAATCGGGTACAGAATTCGCATGGTGAACAGCATAGGGCTAGCAGCTACAAAAATCCTCAATTATTTTGGCCATTCCATGAATTTCCTACAAATCCATTGCCTCCACTTAGACGGTTATATTTTGCGAGAACACCACCAGCCATCAACGCGCCCTTGACGAATTTTTTCGCAAGCATAGTTTTGTCTAGATTATTATTCGGAGGCTGTTGTTGCATGTTTCCTGGAGCATGGTGTTGTACGGGATGAACGGAGGGTCCCGCCTGGGATTGGGGTGGATAAGCGTGGTGAGGTGTGGTGCCGTGACCGTGGTTCACAACATGCTGGGCTGGTATTGGCTGACCCTGCGAGTACATGGTATGAGTGGCGGTCCCAGAGGAGGGGTAAGTAACATTATTCGTATACGGGCTCTGGGTGTGAGATGTATGAAAGCTTTGTGAGGACGTGTGATGGTGAGGATGTGAGGATGTGTGATGATATGAGGACGCGTGATGATGAGAATGTGTGCCCTGCTGAGAGGCAGGATTGAAAGAAGGAAGATGCTGTGAGAATGCTGTGGCAGTGGGTAGTTGAGCGGTTTGAGATGCCATGGGGTGCATGGGTTGTCCGGTTTGCTGGGTTGGGCTGGGGTAGCCTGATGCGGTAAAGTGGTCAGCAGACCTTCCATGGAAAGGAATAGACATACTTGTGTGTGTGTATTCTATCGGCGGCGAATTAGGACCAATATTTGAGATGCCGGACATCGTGGATGCCAAGGTTTGTTGCGGCGGAGCTGTTGTCTGTGAACTTTGAGATCCCTGAGTTGCATTAGTCTTATGCGAGGTGTTATACATCTTGTAAGCGGCTTGCAGGAGCTTTCCTGCATCATGCAAATAGTGCGTGTCGCTGCTTTGATTACTCTGGTTATTTGGCTGTTGCTGTAACTGAGATACGTCGAATATCTGTCCTTGAAATTGGGTGAAGTCTACTCCGTTCCCCGTGGTCTGATCAGACACGTTGTATGTTTGGCCCAAGGAGTCCCCGTCGAACGTTTGATTTCCTTGAAAGATCGCCGTAGCGTCGAATCCGTTCCCTAGAATATTACCAGTACCCATATTGGGGTCGAACACACTATCTGCAGGATTTCCAAACGTCATCCCATCCATACTTCCAGTGATATCGTCAACGATATCGCCACCATCGAGTGTCTCAGCGAGCACAGCCCCGCCGAGCAGACCAAGAACACCTCCCGCCGCGAGACCTGTCGCGATATTTATTCCAAGTCCCCTGCTAGATTGAACTGGTTGAGTAGGTGCAGTTATTGCTCTTGCATCTTGAGGTGGGGGCGGCGGAAAGGCCTGTGGTTGGAAGCTTTGGGGTGACTGGTAAGGAGCCTGTGGGTATCCTTGCAGTGTATGGGATACGGCCGGAGATAGCTGGGGTCTGAACTCTGTGGGAGGCTGGAAGGTTTCACGCGGCGATTGGTAAGGAGCCTGTCCTTGCAGTGTAGAGGATACATCCGGAGATAGCTGGGGTCTAAACTCTGCAGGACGACTGCCAGTTGCTGATGCGGATAGCACTGATGGGCCCCGAGAACGCTGGGAGAGCGGAGGTGAAGAAAGAGGTGAAGGAGAACCTGCATAATACATCTGTGAGGTGATTCCGGCAGAAGCAGCCATGAAAGGTGGGGTACCCGATGATGAAGGAGGGAATGTGGGCTCTGCCGAGACTCTTGGAAGAAGAGATGAGTTAGATGGTCGGTGGCTGCTACTGGGTCGAAGAGGGGAGGAAGTAGCTGTTCGAACTTCAGCCGGCTTCACAGCGGACACCTTTGGGCTTAATAGAGGAGATGCAGGCATCATGTGTGGAGGTGCGGAAGCCGTGCTAGTCGCTGGTGTAGAAACCACGGGATTCCTCAGTGGGAGAGCGGGTGGTGGTGCTGTAGAAGGGGTCTTCACAGGGGTGTTATTGTGTGGGGGGCCCGGCGGGGAACTAGAAGGATGCGGTATGTCCTGAGGAGCGGTGTTATACCTAGATTGCCTATATGAAGGCACCTGCTCGGATAGGATTCGAAATGATGATGAAGCTTCCATAGATGATGACCTCTCAGAAAACTTGGGCATAGAGTCCTTTGTAGAGTCATTATACGATTTCTCCTTAACATCTTCAGGTGCTTTCCCCGTAGGGTATGACGCTACTTCTGGTATGGCCAGTGAGGTTTGCGGAGATCCCGAGAGAGGTTCTAGAGAAAGTGCGCGAGGGGTCCTAACGAACGAGAGAGCATCTGCACCTGTTGAAGGTACAGCTCCAGATACAGAATCGGACTCGTGCGGTGTGAGCGAGGGTACATCAGGGAGTGATAGTACTACAGGTGGTTCAGCGTGATATGTACTCGCCCTGATCGCGCTGCACATGGATTGCGACTCGTCGAAGTCTGGGGGGGGAGGTCCGTCGTCAACGAGGGAATATAACGGTACTTCTTCGGAACTGCCGACATCAAAACTCTCAATCTGTATAGGTGCAGGCGAGGGATCACCAGGTCGAGTCACAGACTCAGGGTTAGAAGTGGTCGCAACCACACCTCTTGAACAATCCTGCGAGTATGAACTAGACTCCCTTGGGAGTGTCTCTGGTGGAACAGGTGAAGCTATGGCATTGTTCACGCTCTCAGGCCGTAGAGGGATGTCTGATGACGTTGAGCTGCCTGGTATCACATGCGTTGTAGGTGGGTTCCTACTGTGCAACCCCGCCTGATTTGACCGCCGGGGGTCACCAGCAGGCGATGGCGGAGACCCATCGGATAGTTCCACTGGAACTGGGCTACGCCTACTGGGTGCCTGCAAGTCGTGGGGTACCTGAATAGGAACTGGGGAATGGGCCAAGGGGATGCTTGGAGCGGAACCTGCTGCTGACTGAGGGTGCAGACCTGAGGAATTGGTGCCTCGTTCAGGTACCGGCTGCGGTAACTGAAAATCAAGTTTTGCGATACTGTTATGGTAGAAATCAGAGGCAGGGACAGTTTGAGGAGCGTTTGTATGATCCGCATTCAGCATGAGAGATGCTCTGGCACCATAAGGAGCCCGTGGGCCAGCCGGAACTCGGTTTTTTGAGGATTCTCCACGTTCAAAGGAAGGCTGCCTGTTGGTGGGCTGCTGGTGGGTCTGAGCTTGGGGCCGCTTGCTTAACGAGCTGGCATATAGGCGCTGAGCGTATGATTGACCGCGTGTAGGCGCGGAAACACCGATTAGAGACTGCAAATTTGGCCCCGGTTGTTGATCGGATGGTTTCTCTAACTGCTGGCGCTCGATGGTGTATTGCAAAACAGGTTGTTCAGAGACAAAAGTGCGCGCATATGCTTGCGCAGGAGTGAGTGGTGCTGCATAACTGCCGGAATTAGACGTAGCCCTGACACTAGTGGGAGACTGGAGATTTGTCCGAGTCTGTTGGAGTGACCTGGATCATGTTTAGAACAAGTACCCTGCTGAGAAATTCTTTCATATCACTGCTCACCGATTTATGCCAGTCTCTGCAGAGAGGCCGTCTGCAGGTACGACACCAGTATAAAAGCTCATTAGCCTGAGTGGGGGGCGATTGAAACTGCAAAGTCAGGCAGACAAAAAAACTAATTGTACTATTATCATTTGGACACGGTGCAAGGTACATCAAGGCACCCCCGAATATAACAGGTGCTTGCCTGTCAAATAAGGGCCTATCAAGGCTGTGACTGATGCGGGCGACCTGAGGCCTGATGCGATTAACGTTAACATGCGCCAAGAGGCTACTAGTAGTACGAAGCCAAGCACCGCATAAGTTGATCACCTCCGACATTCTCGCCGAGACCCTCCTGCAGTTTCTTCCTTAAAGCGACGATGACCGCCAGCATAGATCCCAATGGACGACAGTAAATTGACGGTAGTAGTAAACCCACCACCTCGCGCACACGGCGAAGCCACAATTACGGCACAACCAAGGTAAGTACCCTGCACCAGCTTGCTGCAAACTCAGAAACAGTATTCAAGCAGAGCTGTTGATGCATTCTAGCGGTCGGGACTTGGCGCAGCTTGAAGTGACGATATCTGTAAAATTCAGTGACTTTAAAGTAGCAACTCCACATTCATTCGTTCCGTTGAAATCTTATTAGTTTTCAAGTTGGTCCAATAGCAGCTGTGAATATTAATTACAGTAACACATATAAATAAACTCGTCCATAAAGTTTTCTTCAGCACTTGAACTTTGTTAATATCAATTATGCTCTGAACTTCAACTCTTCGTGAGTCATAAATTCAGCAGCAACGTCATTAGACGAGATACTCTGGGCCAGCAAGAGGGCCACCTCATCTCTACATAACGAGGCTCGACCGAGAGCGGGAGGCACCACATGAAGGATGCTCGACAGCAATGCCAACATCGTGCGCATGTGAGCATGTCGACGGCGGGTGGACTTCCCAAAAAGCCTGTGGCTTTTACGGTGCTGTGGTGTTAAGGTTTGCACAAATTTTGCCGAGTGCGTCAACTGAGATATCCGTCACGCGGATTGTGTTATGCCCAGATCAGAGAATGTGCGCCCTACATGCCCTATAATTGACTCAGAGGACCGTCACAGCAAAGACCTTGAGTGGGTGAATTTCGGAATTAAATGAAAGAGTTTCCACCAAGAAAGGCCGTCCGCTTGGCCACCAGCGAATAGAGCTATGTACTGACTGATTATAAGCCCGCAGGCCATCCGAGAGTTTGTTTATGCCCCATTTCCACTTTGCAATGCCACGCGCGACCTCCGAATGACCTGCCATTGGCTATTTGCGTAACGGCAAGTTTTCATGTTCAAACTGTGTTATCAGATTTAAATTCCTAATCTCCGCAAGTCTCGAACACTCTGGAGCAACACTGGGGTTCTGCCGGCCCCAGTTTCTGCCATCCTTGGGCCTTCCCGTGAGTTTTGCCGTGGACCAAGTATAACCAGTGCTAATTTTGCCAGACCGTTGACAAAACTTCCGAGGTCCGCCAAATTAATAAGTCACAGACGCCGTATAACCTGTACGATGGCACTGATATGGCACCACAAGGGACTTCCATTGCATAAATCCAAGCCTCAAACTACTATACACAAACACAAATCTACCACATTAGGCGCCAAGAACCTGTAATCGTGCATTTGCGTTACCCAACATAGCATGTCGTTTACCAGCCTCCTCCGAAATCACCGCCGCCATTGTCACAATTATTATCGTAACCATTGTCGTACCCTGTTGGATGTTTAGATATGCCCCGGACACACCAGTAGCGAGAGACTTACCTTGGTCATAGGCTTGCTCCTCTACCCTATCTTCATGGTCCTCAAAGGCGTCCATGAGGAGAGCACCGCCTACTAAACCTGCACCGCCTGACCCGGGCATTCAGATGATCAGTATCGCACAGCAGACCAAGACTTACCAGCCAACAAAGCAGTGCCCATCCCCGGGCCGCTCTTCCTCGGAGGAGCCGACTGCTGCGCATAAACAGGCTGTTGGGGCTGAGAAGACGTTCTGCCAAAGAGACCTAGCAAAATGGTTTGATATTCATGATTTATCGCGGATGATCCATGGGCTCTTACCTCTATCTCCTCTATCTCCTGCAGGTGGGTAGCCCTGATAACCGCCATACCCACCGGAAGGTGCATTACCACCATAGCCACCACCATAGCCACCGTAAGAGGGCGCGTAGCCACCTGGAGCGGGAGCCTGATTGTAACCGTCTTGATAAGGAGAGCGGCTGAAGCCACGATCGGGAGGGGGAGGTCCGAGGGGAGGAGTATATTGGGGAGGGCCTAGGGGATGCTCCCAAGATGATCGAGGAGGTTGTTCCATCTCATTTACATAAAACCTGCATTGCGGATAATCATACATTGATAAGGAGGTGTCAAGAAGCCTGGCGGGAACGCGATACACACCATGATTTATAACTATAGATTACGATGATCAGGAGCTCTTCGAAGGATTATCAGATTGTGAAAGACATACTCCCAGTTATATTGTGCGATCCAGCCTCTCGGAAGAGGCCTTGAATCAGGATTCGGGGGAGGAGAGGACATGGTAAGGAAAGTTGAAAGAAGATGATGGCGTTAGCAGGATTGCGGCTTACTTATATAGTGGCGAGCCGCTGGCAATGTCTCATAGTCACACGTAATGGGTGACATTGCCGTGTTTATAACAGTATACGTAAGCCCTACATGATGCCATCCGGCCAATGGCCTGAAGAGTCATTGAAGAATAGTATGTATAGTATTCAAAAGAATCAATAAGCCATATGCTTGCTGATGATAAAATAGTAAAGTATATGTATCATACGAAGAAGATAACCAACGTAAAACCGATTCACAGAGAACTCTCAATAAATCTTGTCATCATTTTTTGGACTTCTTTGCGGGAGGCGGAGGCGGAGGAACCTCTTCCTCGGAAGAAGTATCAACTTCCGAATCGGACTCGGAGTCTTCATCTGTAGTTGCCTTGGCTTTGGCTTTCGGGGCCGGTTCATCGTCTGACGACTCCGCATCTGAGGCTTCAACTTCTGACGCATCCTCTGCCTCAGATCCCGAACTTTCAACAACCTCTTTAGATTTCGGAACCACCTTGCCAACCTTCTAATCAGCAACGTCAGCAAAGGTCACAACCGGTATAAAAGAGCGTACGGGAGCAGCAGCCTTCTTGGCAGTCTTAGGAGCAGCCTTCGCAACCTCTTTCGTTGCAGGATGGTCCGACTCCTCATCATCTTTCTTCTTCTTCTTCCCGCTGTCCTTGGCCTCTGTAGGAACTTGGTCGGGGTGTTGGGCGTTATAGGCGGCAAGGTCAACTTCGTGTTTCTTCTTGGCTCTGCCGTGTTGATCACGGTAGAACTGATGATACGGATGAGCGGAGGGTGATGTACATAGGATTGACATATACGTACATCCTTTTTGTCATCGGCCAACGTCTTCCACTGGTCACCGATGAGTCTTAGCAACTCCTTGTTAGACATGTCTGGATGTTCCTTCTTGTACGCAGAACGAATATCATTTTGGAACAGGATGTAAGCGGAGGCGGGACCCTTTGGTGCATTGGGATCCTTGATTTTCTTTTCGCGCTTCTTCTTTCTGGGGACACCATCCTCGCCGATCTCAAGCGCGACGAGTTTACGCTTACGCGACGGTTTCGTGATTGCCGCGTTCAGAAGTTCGGTGAGGTTGTTAACAGTGGATTCATCGATAGGTACTTCGGCGACAGCCTTGGAAAGCACTTCGGCAAGAGCACTGAACTGACGCGCGGCATTGTTGAACTTGATCGCGAGCTAAATAGGAGAACGCGTCGAGAGTGAGCAGACGCGATGAATAGAATACATATTAGAGAATACAAACCTGAGCCTTCTTCTGGTCAAGGTCAAGTTCTTCTTTTGGCTCTTTAGGTGGCATGATTTATTAGAAAAGGAGGGTAGTGAGAAAAAGACAAGGGAGGATTCAGAAAAATCAACGAAGTTTGTTGACTCTTGTAAGCAATTATAAACTTTTGTTTTGTTGACAACTATTAGGGTTCCCTATTGAAACAATTGTAACTAATAGGAAATCAGGTAATGAAAGTCACAAACCTTGTGTAGATGGCGTCTAATGATAAAAAAGACATCGCTTCCTTATCATTAGACTAGTACTACGGGATTGATATTGTCTTGGTTCTCCTTGTGCTTGGAACAATGTTTCACTACATGAAATGTTAATGACAACATTGACGGCGATCCTTAGTTACTTCTGCCGAGTCGCCGATTTTGATTATTGAATCGGAGTTCTAAAAAAACAAGATCATGTGGGTTGTTCGCAGTGGCGACGAAAGCTGACAACTCGCACCCTCAACTGAGCCAGGTCTCTCAGGCAGTTTGAGCCGTAGAACACACTGCAAAAAAAGGTGATAGAAGGCTTGTATACCGTCTACATTTCTTTCCTGCTTTTCCTGCGTCTCGTTGCACAGAAATAAGCCGTTTAGTGTTGCCCCAATAACGCTTGAGAACGAAGCAGCAGAAAAAGAAGAAAACAGTCCTTATGGATTTGTATTCGAATGCGCAAAACTGGACGCAGAATTTAACTGGAGGCACTCCGTCCACCGACGACTGGAAAGAACAGTCGTCTCCCACAAATGGAGCAGGAGGTCCTCCTGGAACAGCTGCGCAGCAGCCAAGTCTCGATTTGAGCGACTATACAATAGGCGACCTTGCGGGTAAGCATCTCATTCATAAGCGCCCGTGCTACAAACACGCTGTTGAGCGCCCTCGTATAAAAAATGTTAAAATAATGGTTATCTCTCTTGTAATAGGACCTTCAACGTCTTCATCCATCTCTCAACCACCTGCGTACTATGGCGGTCCATTCAATCCATTCTACTTGTCTTCAGTTCCCGGTCCCTATAATGCCGTACCTTATGGTTCAATGTCTTGGACTAACCCGCAAACCCATCTACCGTTGTCGAATTACTCCACACTCAATGGTGCAACTTCTACGACCTCCTCTCAACAGTCCGCTTCTCAACATCAATCGCCCCCCGCACCGAACCAGCAGCCCATGATGATCGAGTGCGTTCTACCTCCTTCGTGTACTCACTTTATTCACACACTTGTTACAGTCCCGCATTGACAACTATGAACGGATCTGGATCGGAACCGCCCCGACAATATACGCAGTCTCCAACTCATGTAGCTCAGCCCACTCCCCAATCCCAACCACGACATCCATATCAATATCAGCATCCTACTTTATCCATTAATCCTGCCTATGTTCTTCCCGCACATTTTTATTCCTCGCATTTAACTCAGCATCAACCCGCATCACAGTCTCAAGGCACTCTTTCGCCCCACGTTCTTCATTCACCTACTTCTACAATGATCGGACAATTGTCTTCTTTCTACGCACAATCGCCATCTACACCTTCAACTTCTACGGCAACCACAGCGACCTCCACTGCTGCTGCTCCCGCACAACCACCAACGATCAACATCCAGGCTCGAAAGGATAGTTTCGTTACTGACGTCAGACCACTTTTGCAGCCCAGCGCATTCGGCGGTGCGCGTGCTATTAACAACCTTGTTAATCTCATCGACGACTTTGGTTCTGAGGAGGTCGAACCTGCCCTGCGAATGGAAATCCTCACCAAGATCCGCGATAACGCCGCTAATCATTACTTTCGGGCCTGGTCCGAAAATAACACGGCTATGGACATTACTCGGGAATGGCTAAAAGCCGCTGCCACCGCCAAGTCTGACACCCCGTTGGTTGACACTGTAATGCCGTTACTTCACGTATGTTACGCATGTTCAAGGCTGCAAGTCGCCTCTAATACTGTGCAAAGATCATTGACAGGTTACCGTTGACAGTTGAGTCACTCAAGTCCTCGAAGCTAGGCAAGATCATCGTCAAGTTAGTCAAGGAGCCTCCAGCTCCAGGTGAGCGTTCGGTTTCACAAATATCCACTCATGCGGTCTCCGTGAGAGACTACGTGAACCGTGTACGATTTCAGCCTTGCAACCACAGTTTGCGTGTCTGTCGTATTATTACTACTTGCTTGAGCCAACGAAAATTACATGTATCTAACTCTTGTTTGATTTCTGTGTTGCCCAAATGTGCAGCGATCAAGGACATGGCATCGAACTTGGAACGGAGATGGCGACAATTGGTCGAAACTGCCCAAAAGCAGGCAGAAAATACACAAACTGAGGGTGGGTCACGTCAGTTTGTTGCACCAATGAACAAGCGCTCATCGACTCATGCCTTGCAGAATCGAAGCTCAAAAAGCGAAAGCCTGTCGAACAGCCCTCAGCAAAACCGCCACCACCTGCCAAGAAGGCCGCCGTAGCGCCTACTGCTTCCGCGTCAAAGCCAACAGCCATGAAGAAAGAGACGAAACCTGCTCTCGCCGTCAAAGATGCTCGTTCCGATTCCTCATTCTTTTCTGCGCCGAAACCGAAAGCCAAATTACCAAGCTTCAAGAAAGCCCCGGTGCCTGTCAAGAAGGAACCTGATCTCAATGTTGCACAACCATCGTCGATCGATCCGTTCCAGGAGGCATTGAAGTCAATGGGTAAAGGGCGTAGGGACTCTCCAGTAACGGCCACACCGCCACCAGCTTCGATGTCGATTACGCCGCCCCTGGTGACTTCTGGAAGAACAAAGAGAAAGTCTGTGACTTGGGCTCCTGATGATCAGCTAGAGTCGATCCGGCTGATAGAACGAGCTGTGTACGATGATGATCCTGTTGATGTCAGCATTCTACTCTCGTTTTTTATGTTGGTGTACAGTACTTATATTGATGTCACGAATACCTTTGTGTATTTTGTTCACATAGGGTGTTCATACTGCTCACAGTTTGCGCGATCTGGATCGGGGAGAGGGTGCTGCTCTACATGCTCCCCTATTCGAAGAAGTCATCGATTGGACGGATCCAATAAGTGAGCAAATTATCATCGTTATCACGAATCGCCACCAATTAATAAACGCAATCTATAGCTCTCGAATTCGATCTCGAAGCGTCCCAACGCGGACAGAATAGTACAGAAAAGACGACACAGGAGGAGCGTGAGCAGACAGCTTTGGGTGCACTATACATGTCGTCAGCACAGATACCTGACAGTCCTGGCGAGCCCACGACGATAATCAGTGATGACGAGATAGATGTGGACGTGAAGACTATGACGGTGGGGTCAGAGTGCGATAATTTCTTCTGGAGAGAAGCCGATCTGCCTCAGCCCAACGCCGCATCTGTCGCCGATCTCGTAGGTCAATTATCGGGAGGTTTTGATTCGATGAATGCGCCCAGCGGTGCGGGTATCCAATCATTTGGCTTTGATCCCGCACTGCTTTCACAATTGCCTATTGCGCCAGAACAGGTGCAGGAATTGATGCAGCAGGCGCAAGCGCTATTCAACCAGCACCCGTCTGGACCCGGTGTACAAGCCCAATTTGGAGGCCAAGATCAGAACTGGAATTCGAACGCCGCCACCGGTGATTATGGTCGAGGATATGCTGACAATGGTAGTGCTCGCGGGCGATGGGCGTCAGATAGGGGTCAGTTTCGCGGTCGCGGACGTGGCCGCGGACGGGGAGAAGATGGATCGTATAGAAGTAGTAAACGAAAACCATGCAGTTTTTTTGCAGAAGGAAGGCGAGCATCAAATATGCCAAATTCTGGATCGTGGGACTAAAACTGATTCAACGTAATAACAGGTGCAGATATGGCGATCAGTGCGATTTTAGCCATGAACCTATCTATTCGTGATCCGGGAGTTTAGAGAGATGGGCGGCAGCATAGTATACAGCATTGAGCATGTTCCGTGGACTAACATTTTTGATATCCAATATGATGGCATCTTGATGGTCTGTTCAGGCAGCATTGATACGCCAAGAACTTAAAAATCAAAAGAAGCTGAACACGCCGTTTGGTGATGATACAGACAAAAGCTATAAATAAAAACAGGTGTATGTAAGTAAAGCAGTTCTACTTGACAATGAGCGTGGCAAGTTACATCCCTAGCAAAGTTAGAATACTATGTCGATATCGAAGCTGGTATATTCAGCATCATGCAATGCGACAAAACAATATGATCGCTCAGATCGATCGACGACGAAGCAACAAAAGAAATCCGAATATATATATATCATCCGCTACCGTCTCTGGGTCAACTTTCGCGTCTTTTTTGAAGGCTCGGCATTTGATTGAGAAGGCGAATTGGTGTCGTTGGTCTTGCGTTTGAGGGTAGCCGAGGTCATTGAAGGCGTTGTCATGCCGGATTGGGAAGGTGTGGGTGCATTGGCTGGATTTGAGGAGTTGGGGGGCGCGGTGCCAGATGCAGTTGTGGGTCTGGTCTGCTTTTGTGAGTTGTCAGCCGAGGGAGGGAGGTTTTTTGGGGAGTGCGCAGAGGGCCCAGGATGCGATACTGACGGTGATGAAGACATGCTATGATACAACGTCACCGCTGGCGATGTTGAAAGCCCGTTCATGGTTTGAAAGGGCAGGAAGTGCCCGTTTGAGAGAGGCATGCCCATATAGGGACCCCCTTGAGACCCTTCTCGTAGCTTGTCCGCTAGCTTTGCAAGGGCGTCTAACCGTTCTAGCAAGTCAGCGACCGTTCACTAAGAGTCTTGACAAGCAAACATTACCCATTGGTCCTAGCTTTGTTTCATTCGCAAATGTGATTAGATCGGTCATCTGACTGACACTTTCTGCCAACTACCACGCCTCGCGTTCAGCAAAGAGAAATGCGGAGCCGAAAAGCACGTACCTCCAGACACCGCATGGTAGCCTGCGGAATCCCAAATGCATTCACAGGTTCTCCCGGTATCGATGCATGGTCGATCATAACTCTGGGTTCTTCCCATATTCTCTCATCATCCATCCTATGCATTACCGTCCCGTTCGGACTTGGCGTCGGTGCCGTCCTCACGCGTGGCGTCTTCGGTGACTCCGATTGCCTATGACCCATTACCGAGTCCAATGCAATGAACTTTTCGTGATGATTTGCATCGAATTGGAGGTGGTCAAATTTGAGGGAATACGGCGGTGTTTGGGAGGTGGCGGCGTTTGGCTGAGGAATGAGGATAACGTGGACTGTGAGCGGGCCCCGAAGTGTGACTGTGTACCCGTTGGTGTATCGGTATGTCCAAACAGCCGCAACGCACTCTACAACCGCATGGTGTTGTGAGAGTAGCCGTTCTCGGGCACCGTCCAGCGAGAGTGTCATGGATTTCACACCAGATTGGGTGGTGACTAGAAAAAACCGGGGCAGAATAGGCACGCCGATCTCTGATGCCGGAACAGATGAGCAAAATTAAGATTTGAGAAAATTACGACTAACCGAAAGGCTTTGCTTCATTCCGCTGGTTATCTTTCCACAAGGTAAATTTCATTATGGCTGTCGGAGTGAAGTAGTCTTTCACAACAGTTTCCCAGTGTGATAACTGATGTTTCTACCGAGGATTCATGATTGAGGGATGATATTAATATGAAATGACGTACAGTGGGGTTTTCGGCTGAAAGGACTCCGCTAAATTGAAGCAATCGAACAAGACCCTGTCCAAGACCAACGGGCATGGCCACCCTTTGGGAAAATATAAGTAGAGCCAAGATAAGCCATCTAAATAACACTTACACAGGGGAGGTGCGAATGGGAGGCGGGACCGCCGGCTCCGAGGACGGCGCGGTCGTAACAGGAGGTGCAGCAGCAGCGCTCGTCGAAGACTGTGGCGGCCGTGGAGCTATTGGCTGCTGCCCTGGAGTTGCCTGCCGTTGTTGATGCGGTGACGTCTGTGCTTGTGTAACGGGGGGTATACGTGTAGGAGGAAGGAGACCGCTAGACGATGAAGGCGGAAGCTGGGTATGCGAAGCCCGGGGTGTTTGCGACGGTCCAGCTTGTGATGGTGGTCTAACAGAGGGACCCTGTGGTTGAGACTGGGGTCTTGGAGGTTGTTGTTGTTGTACATGACCTGCCATAGGATCAGGCTGATGTGGAGAGTGTTGATGGGGAGGTGGTGGTTGTCGAGGTGTTATGGAAGGATGTATACCGGACGTGGGGTGAGATGGAGGACGAGGGGGGACGTTTACTTGGGTCGGCATGTTGAAATTACCGCCAAAACTGTTATCAGTGTGCTGCATATGCTCAAACTGCTGGGCAGGTGTGAGGAATCCAGGACGACTGCCTGGATTAGACATGCCATCTGAGATGTTCTGCTGCATGTCCATGTCACCCTGGGTGGATGAAGGCACAAAAGTAGTGAAGGAAGGGTTGGAGGACGATATTCGATTACCTCCTGGGGTAAAGCCAGGGTTGAACTGGGGATTCTGAATACCCATGAATACTCCATCACCGGGGTTCATTGGACGAGCACCGGGGGGTTGTGAAGGACCAGGTGTACCCATGATCATATTGGAGGCATGACCTTGGAGAGGACCTGTAGGACGAGGGGAAGAAGAAGTGATTGGATGATGCGAGTGGGATGGGAAACCATTTGGTGGCATCGTTGTGGAGGTTCCGGCTTGAGAAAGAGTTGGTTGTGATAGACTGTTCATCAACTGGGGTTGGGATGGTTGAGTTCGCATTGGATTTTGACCTTGAGAGCGATTTAGTGTACTAGACAAATCTGGTGACATTGAGGTAGGAATTGAGCTAGGGATACGAGACAGCATTGGTTGAGCGGATGGTTGACGTAAATGAGAAGGGATATTATTTTGTGGATTCATGGGAGGTATGCCAGGCATATTTGGTTGACCGGGATGTATTGCTTGGACGTGATTGACGTGATTGAGCGCCTGTGGATGAGAGGCGACTCTTCCGACCTGTCCAAGATTGCTTCCAGCCTGAGACATCATGTTACCCGAAAAAGCGAGGTGTTGAGGGATAGAATTCATATGAGAATTAGCTTGTGAAGCTACTGCTGCGGTGCTCATCTGAACATTCTGTGCCTGCTGCTGCTGCTGCTGCTGCTGTTGCTGCTGCTGCTGTTGATGTTGTTGTTGCTGCTGCTGCTGTATCTGGTGTAACTGCTGACGACGACGGAAGTCCATGCTGTTTTGGGATTGTGGACCGCCGGCTGCTAGTAAGTTCATTGGGTTATGTGGCATGAGCGACGGGACGTGATTTGGAGGAGGCTGCTGCTGCTGTGGAGGTTGTTGTTGAAAATGAGGAGAGGGATTCATGGAGAGTTGTGCCATGCTCTGTGGCCGAAGCATGTCACCAGGTCGAACGTTCATGACGATCAAAGATATATGAAGAGTAGAACGATGACGAGGAGGACGACGAGCTCGACGAGTACGACGAAGACGACGACGACAATAACGACGACGACGACAAAGTCAACTAGCTAAACTATTAATTGAGATTGGTCGAAGGACGACAAGGGTCGACGTCGTCCAAGTTTGAATCTAGTCCAAGGTACTACCAAGACTCTCACACGCAGCCTTCGTTTACCACGTGCTTGACAGCACAATCACCGGAATCAAAATTTTATAAACACAGCATTCAGCTATAGCACTCATGGTCCGCAAATTCAAGTATCACGAGCAGAAATTGCTCAAGAAAGTCGACTTTTTAAACGTATGTCTCATTCTCTATTCCATAATTCACTAACCAAAGATTATAAAGTGGAAACAAGATGCAAATATTCGTGAGATCAAAGTCATTCGCAGGTACCATATCCAGGACAGAGAAGATTACCACAAGTAAGCTTCTAACTCCTCCGTCGATCATGTTAACATGAACATCATCACAGGTACAACAAGCTTTGCGGTGCTCTAAGATCATTCGCACACCGTCTATCCGTTCTACCGGCTCAAGACCCGTTTCGTACCCGCATGGAGTCACAGCTGCTCTCTAAACTCTATGACATTGGCGTACTCAACTCCCAAGCAAAATTAAGTGACGTTGACAACAAGCTCACCGTTGCTGCCTTTTGCAGGCGTCGCCTTGCCGTTTTCATGTGCATGAGCAAGATGGCAGAAACAGTCAGCGCAGTACGTCCAAACCTATTCAACTTACACTCCCAACTCACTTCTTCAGGCTGCAAAATTTATCGAACAAGGTCACGTCCGTGTTGGTCCTGATAATATCACCGATCCCGCTTTTCTTGTCACGAGGCGCGTTACAAAATTAATCTCGTTTTCGTATTCTCATCGACTCTCAGACACATGGAAGACTTCGTCACTTGGGTGGACACTTCTAAGTTGAAGAGAACCATCATGAACTACAACGACGAGGTAAGCGATCGACTGAAAAAATCGTATTTCTTTCTGACCATCTCTCGAAGCTCGATGATTACGATCTACTATGATTGCCCATCGACACGTCCACAGTCGATGATGTCGTCATGTGCGTTACCTCCGTATTGTCGGTTCCTCGCGGACTTAACCTTAACTCACTTGCCTTCGTCAGCCTATTCTCGGTGCCGCTCCCTTGGCCGTCTTCATGACAGGCACTCGAAGCATGTCATATTCAGACTGCCGACGACACAGCATAAAAGTCGTAACAACACCGCACTCGTTCACATATTCTCGTGATTGTGCTAGGGTTTAGACTGATTATATGTCTTGATACGTTACTATGAATAGATCGAGAGCTGCTTCTTTAACCATGTGCGGTCCTTGGTTGTTCTTGCTACTGGAATTATCGATCATGCCTTCGTTGCAACGCGAGCCGCCGCTTGCACACGGGTCAACCCGAATATGGATTGCAATACATTCAGCACGAAGATAATAACGGCTATTAGGCGGCAACAGGCCCATGAAGGGACAGGGGTACGCGCCGTTTGGGACTACGTGTCTTTGTCAAATGCGATGCTTGCCGGAATCACTGTGATGTTTGACAATCATTGTTTGAGTCGTACGTACTCGGGGTCGCCTCGAACAACATCGGTTAAGTGACGATATGGGATAGCAACGGTCCACCCAAATGACGCAAGTGCTGTACTGCAGAGTATGAACGGAATCCATTCATATTCAAGTAACTTACACGAAGTCGGAGGATCCAGTGTCGATCTTATCGCATGATATACTTGCGGTTGATAAGTAAATAAACACATTAGTGACCCTTGGATATCTGGATACCAGAGTATTTATAATTCTCCACCAACCCTCTCCTCCCTTTCCCATACGGTCTCTACGCATCCCCGTATCATCTATCTCGTGATACGAAACAAGAGACATTGTGAAACTTAGCATCCCCGTTAGCTGCAGGTAGTAAGAGCTTGATATTATAGTAGAGCGTCAAGTTCATGTCGTAGTTCTTTGAACGTGGGTATAGTCGAGATCATCACTGGATTCATATACATGTCAGGCAAATGGTGCTAAGGGAAGTGTGGGTTTCAAGTTGGACATCGATCGTTTTTTGTCACTCTTGTCGATGAGCTAGCGACGGAGCAAGGGGGTTGCAAAGATGACCTCGCCCGTCAGAGTGAAGAGCCTGCGATATTATAGTCAAGTAACAAGTTCATAACATGAAACGGTAAAACTGAAGAGTCAAGACCTAACGTCGATGATAAGTAAACTGCCAGTGAGCAATCATTGAATATTGAGTAAGCCAAAGTAGGCCAAAGTACAGCACGTGAATTTGATACTGGACTCGCTCAAACGCGTTAAACTACCGCCAGACCAATACCCTTCCTTTTATCCCAAATCTAGCTACAACCATCTTTTTGCGACATTTCTCACTCATAGAACATTTTCTTGACGCAGGACTCACAATAATTGGCTCCTGCTTTATACTCCACTTTGACCATGGCCGAAGGAGACGGCAACATCAAAGTGGTGGTGCGATGTAGACCCCTCAATTCTCGCGGTGCGTTCGTGAGGGATACGCATGCATCGTTCATACTCATCCCAACTTTCCCAATTCTCGCCTACAGAACTTGCACGAGGTGCCAAACCACTTGTCCGGATGCAGGGCAACCAGACTTTCCTCGACCCACCGGAACACGGTTCCCAGCAAGACTCCAAACGTGCTACGGAACGCAAAACAATGGCCTTTGGCTTCGATAGGAGTTATTGGTCTGCGGGACCACGAGATGAACCGGGGTACTGCTCGCAGCAGACTTTGTATGAAGACCTGGGAAAGGAGTTGTTGGATCATGGGTTTGCGGGATTTAATGCTTGTATTTTGGCTTGTAAGTGGTTTGTTTTTCGGACGTCTTTCTGTGAGAAGGTGTGCTGATGCTACTTTGGTCTGACAGATGGGCAGACTGGTATGCTTGCGTTTTATTTTATCACTGGGTATGGCTCATGTGCCTTGACCAATGACCAGGATCTGGTAAATCATATAGGTGTGTTCAAGCATATTCTTTTGGTGTGCGATACTGAGAATTGGTGTATAGTATGATGGGATGTGCGTATGATAAAACGAATGACTCGCGTGCTACTTATGGAGATGATCACTAGATGGACCCGACAAAGGAATCATACCCTTGACATGTTCCGAGCTGTTTGTACGTGTAGAGGATAAGAAAGCTGCAGACCCCAACATCAATTTCACCGTAGAGGTTTCCTACATCGAGGTAGGCCACATGCTTCGAACCCTAATGCAGTTTTCGTTTTATTTTTCACTATTAGATCTATAACGAGAAAGTACGCGACCTCTTGAATCCAAAGAACACAGGAAACCTTCGAGTACGTGAACATCCTAGCTTGGGTCCCTATGTAGAGGATCTATCGAAGCTAGTCGTGAACAACTACCACGAGATGATGACGCTCATGGACGAGGGCAATAAAGCGCGCACCGTCGCTGCCACGAACATGAATGAGACCTCTTCTCGGTCCCATGCAGTATTTACACTGCTGTTGACTATGAAAAGGCATGACGTAGAGACGAAATTAGATACCGAGAAGGTGTCGCGAATTAGGTGCGTTTCTTCTCGTTGCAATTTCTTTGATAGGTGTCCATTGATTTATCCATTTGACGCGACGCAGTTTGGTTGACTTGGCAGGTTCTGAGCGGGCTAATTCGACAGGTGCCACTGGACAGCGTTTGAAGGAGGGAGCGAATATTAATAAATCGCTCACTACCCTTGGGAAAGTTATTTCTTCTCTCGCACTTGCGAGTCAGGATGGGGGGAAGAAGGGGAAGAAAGGAAAGGCTGAAGAATTCGTACCTTACCGTGACTCGGTGCGTCATCTTTTTTTCTGGATGATGCCTATTTATAGGTTTCGACTAGGTCTTGACATGGTTGCTGAAAGACACTTTGGGCGGGAACTCCAAAACTGCTATGATAGCTGCCATCTCTCCTGCAGATTATGAGGAGACGCTGAGTACTCTACGATACGCTGACCAAGCAAAGAAGATCAAGAACAAGGCTGTCGTAAACGAGGACCCTAATGCCAAACTTGTTCGCGAACTCAAGGAGGAGCTTGAAATGCTTCGAGGTAACTTTCGTCGTTTTATACTTTGACAGATGGTTGACACTTCTCAGCACGCGTGGCGACGTCCTCCGGAGAAGATACGTTCGACCCGCACGTTCCGCCTGAGAAACAGAAGGTCACGTACAAGACGAAGGATGGAAAGATCAAGACTGTTACCAAAGCGGAGTTGCAGGAGCAGATGGAGACGGGCGAGAAATTGATGCAGAGTTTGAATGAGACGTGGGAGCAGAAGATGTCTCGGACGCAGGAGGTACAAAAAGAGCGGGAGAAGGCACTTGAAGAGCTTGGTATCACGGTTGAGAAGAATTTGGTGGGAGTACATACCCCAAAGAAGGTGAGGATGGGACGCGTGAAGGGAATGTTGTGCTGATCTGCTGGACGTGTTTGTTTTTAGATGCCTCATTTAGTGAATTTGGTCAGTTTATTTCGTTTTGTTTTGTGGGTTATATGATTAAATTACTATTGTATCTTTTCAGAATGAAGGTGAGAGCTCGAGATTTAGCTGGAATGCAATCTGATTATGTATTTCATCAGATCCTCTCATGAGCGAATGTTTGATATACCAACTCAAGCCTGGTACAACCATCGTACGATTGGTCTTCGCTTGCTCATAGCTGCTGAATATACAAATGGTATTCGATAGGTCGGTCGCTTGGACAGCGAAAAACCTGCCGCAATTCGGCTGAGCGGTGAAAATATACTCGAGGAACATTGTTACTTCGAGAACACAGACGGCAAAGTGACCCTTCACGCTATGCCCGAGAGCGTCACTGTGAGAATCATTTCTCCGTACGCAGCTGCACTTTACCTGACTATGTTTGAAGTTCTTGAACGGCAAACAAGTTTCCCCTGGACAGGTAAATTGATTGGTTTTTGAAAGGAAAGAACTCAATGTTATTGATGTAGTCTTATAAACTGCGTTCTGGATACCGGATCATCCTTGGTACGAATATATTTACTCTTAGTGGTGGAGAATTCATCTGTTTCATTTAGGGGAGCACCACGTCTTCAGGTTCAATAATCCCGAGGAAGT